TTAGCAAGAATAAATTAAAAGCATTACCATTTTGAGTATATTCAATAAATGTTTATTTTCAATAAACGTTATCTTTGACTTTAAGGATAGAATATTCTTAAATCTTCATATCAGCTATCTCACTCAATAAAAATAACTACAATCCAATGAAGGAATTTGTCATTATGTCCGACGGTAGAAATTCTGAATTACACCCAAGAAATAAATGTTTATTTTCTATATCTTGTACACTAATCGTTCATTAATAAGAGCAGACTTATTTAGTTTAGAATATAATTTGTATACTACATTAAATATTATATTGATATAAAAATGTAAATCGTAAAATTATAGAGAATAATCATTAAATAAATAATACGAGTAGTTTGACAAAATTTCTCATTTAAATTTGTTGACGTGATAAAATAAGGGTTGATGCCATGTTTGACGTTGATGGAAGACAGATCATGTTGGGCTGTTACAGCTGATCACTCGCGTGGCAACAGCAAGTGAAAACTATGTCATTATTGGCCGATTATATTCTGCGTTCTCTTCATTTGCTCCCCTTTTCTATATTGTCTGCTTCATCTTTGTTAATTCTTATCATTTCCTTCCCATCTAAGGATTTGGAGATTAGGCATTTAGGCCTGTAAATGGTCTATTGACCTAACACGTAGCATTCCACCTTTTGGGTTGGGCCTGTAAACCCCACAACCATCTGTGCCGTGGGCTCATTGGCACGTGAATTAGTGACTTTTTTTTTTTTTTGGGTACATTTGGAATCGTGTTGGATTTTAACGGTTTAAAGACAACCTAATTCAGGTACTGAGTTAATTTAGTACTTAAAAGATTTTAAGTTTAAGTGTTTATGGAAGTTGTTTATTGCTCTAATTGACTTGGACTGATTAAATATTGATAACTTAGATTCATTTATTTCATTATGATCATTTGTTAGTGAGAGTCCAATTTAGATTAGTTTCTCGTACTATAATTTTATTTTAATTTTTTTAATAACGAGGGTAATACAGACTTCACTCAGAGCGTCTTTTTCGTAAAGTACATAACAAATGTAGACTTATGTTTATGCAATGAAACTTTTAAAGCATCTTCATCAATTGAGGTTTTTTACTGCCATGTAGGATAGAGAGAGGGAAAAAAATGTCATGGGTATTTCGCGCCTAATGTGTACTTGTAGTAGTCTATTTTACTGTTTTTCCATTCAATGAGCTCCACAAAAACATAATATTGAATGAGCAAATACTAATTTTGATCTCACGAGTATTAGCAAAATGACAATTTTGGTCCACATGTTTAATTCGAGTTAATTACCTATTTGATCCATCGACTATGAGTATTTCACCAATTTGGTCCTCGACTTTTAAAATTTCTCAATTTAGTCCCCGACTATGTTTTTTTATTCGAAATGGTCATAACCGTTAGACGTCCGTTAACTCGGGACCAAATTGATAATTTTGCTATAATCAAGGGACCATTTCATTAATTAACTTTCCGAAAAAATAGTGCATATGATGACCGATAGATAAAATTTTAATTAACCGTTCAGTTAATTTAATTAACAGATAATTTTAAACCGAATTAATCATTAACCAAAATTTTACAAATCGTTTAACTAACAATTGAACCAAAACTTTTCAGTTAAAGAACAATCAACTAAAATTCTTCGATTTGATTAATTAGACAAATTTTAACCAAAGTTTACATACCCTGACAATTCCATCCTACCCAATGCTAGGGGAATTGTAGTCCGGGCATCAGACAAAACGGGAAACCTTAAAAAAAGGTCAGTCAATATCTTGACGCGGTCCGTTGCTCCTTACAAATTGTAAACATCTCTGCATATGAAAGCAATCATTTTGACTCCACTTATTTTGGTCAGTAGCTTACAGCCGAACCCCCTGGTCTGCAAATTCGCAACATGTGAACCGCGCCAGCTTCTAGAAGACGACAATGGCGGCCTTCGAGAATCACATATTATATTGTTAAGCGAACTACAGGTAATAATATCCAAAAATTACGCAATATATTGTCAATGAATTATCATCATTTTATTATTTTAAGCACCAATGTTTGGAAGCACCAATCACATGTTTCCTTGCCTCGTTTTCTATAATATATTATTATTTAATTGACTAATTAAGTTAATATATATATTAAACAAAAGTTGAAATCCGTTACTGGAAATTGTTTTTAAATGCAGCTGATATGATAGGTACCAATTACCATGATCAACATCCATCAATTCAAGAAAAACATAGCTCGTTGTGCGTATCAACATTTAGCTATGTCAATTGAGTCATTTAGTTACTGTAATTTATATCATTTTAAATGCCCTGTCGGGTCAAGATGATGAGTTTTTGAAGTTGTGAATTCAACCTTTTTGGAGAAGAAGAAAAACATAGCTTGGGACAATCCAAATCAAATTAATTGGATAATTATATTGTTTATAATAAATTTATAAGATCGATTCTAGGTGAGTGCTATTTATTGAGCATTTTGATTTGAGCGGTTATGAATAATTTAGACTGGTTACGTTCTTGTGATCATTTGCTAGGGTCACATTGTGAGTTTCATTCAAAATGCATATCTGGATAGTGATCCGCCTCAAAAGAATTAACCGAGTAGATGGAGCATGAAATCAATTGAACAAATCGTATAATTAACATTTTTCTTGTGTGGTTCTCAAACCTTTATCACATATTTAAACCACTCAAACATCTTTCATCCAAACTAATACGATTTGGTAATACATCTACATTGTTACTTGACCAACCATTTGTAAATATTAAGAAAATGTAGCCATTACTTTCATCTTCAACCCTCAAATCTCAATCCATTGCATGTTCCCACCTCAAAAAGTTGATTTTTTTGGGCCAGTTATTATATTTATTGGTAAGTAGAGATAAAGATAATGACATTGAAGGTTTGGGTCAAAAAATGAGTTATTTTGGTGAGTTTTCAATGTCAATAATAAATAATTAAATTGACGTATTGTCAATGACCTTATAGTCTAGTGTCACGAAGTAACTCTCAAATGAGAAGTCATGAGTTTAATTCTTAATAGGGGCAGCGTTAACTCTTTGTGCTTTAGTAGATTTAGTATATTACATTGAAAGTAATAACAGAGTCAATAGTATTAAAAAAAAAAACCTAAAAATATATGATAAAACAAAACTAATTAAATAAAGATGGTGTAAAATCAAATTGATATTCTGTTTCCATTCACTTGGTCATTTCTTTTAGACATTAATGGGCGTTTGGTGGGAGGGAATTTAAACTTCATACCCACTTAATTCCAAGGCCACTAAATTTTTTAGTTCGGTTGGGAGGAATTGCAATTTCATTGAATTGCAATTCCTTCATTTTCATGGAATTAAAATCCCATGCCCCCTTGGGATTTTAATTCCATAGATTTTAAGAAGAAGAAAAGATAATGGTGAGACAAAATTATCTTTCTTTTTTTTTTTTTTTAAACCTAAAATTAATGCTTGACAACAACAATGGACATTTTGGACTTTATACTACTTATTCATTTTCAATTCCCATTGATAGTGTTAATTGCCATGTAATGCGGTAATTGAATAAACACGAGACCAATTAAAGTAAATAAATAACTCTTATTGATCCCAGTGAAGGCCCTAAGTACAATCTACTTGGTTGTTCTGAGTACCGACTGGATGCGGTCGGGATTCTCTAACAACAACCTATCGTTCGTCCAAAAGTCCCCCACACTGTTGCTATCGCGGGTATTTATAGCCGCGGAGCCGGAGACACAAATCCGGCCGTCCGGCATGCTTCCCACGTAGCAACCACGTGTCACCTCCCCGGGTGCCCTGCCTGTCAACGCATGGAACTGCCACGTGTCCCTCGTCAGCTCTCACGCTAAAGGGCTTCCGCTCGGTGGTCGACACTGCCACTTGGGTAACTCCCGATCGGACCCCGACCGGGTTCTTCACATGAAACCCCGACTGCAAAGACAAGAAGAAAAGGACGAAGACACACCGGTCGGGGTATTCCCTACCACCCATGTATATCAAATATTGAAATTGAAATTTCTCAATAATTTTATTTATATAAACCAAATGAAATTTAAATTTCACTTTATTCCCAGTAATTCATTTTTTATAGAATTATAATTTATTTTTCACGTAATTTTCTCCCTCCAACTAAACGGCACCGTAAATTGATCTTTTTTTTGGAGGGAAAATAACTATGCCCTCAATAATATTAGCAGAGGGACACATGGAGAAGCACTAGGTACAAATGTCAACAATGGCTGACTAAATTTACGCCATCTGGGCATAAAACGCGGGACTTTAGCAACCACTAGGTTCTAGAAGCCAACGTGTAAACCCGCACGAGTCGTATGCAACAAGTAAAAACTACAAAGCGAGGACACTCTTAGCGGCCGTTTGGTTCACGGAATGTTAGATTACCTTAGGGAATGTAAAATTATCTTAGGGAATGTTAGATTACTGGGAATGTTAGATTCTCGTGTTTGGTTAAAATTGAGGTATGTAATATTATCATGTTTGGTTTAGGGTTATCTTTATATATATATCCTTAACATATTTTCATATATTTTAATAAATTTAATCATTAAATTAAATAAATAAGATAACGGTATCATATTAATAATTAATAATAATAATAATAAGCTAACATAAAATATATATCTTTAAATAATTAGAATTAAAATGACAAAATTCATAAATATGCAAGGTTATCTTACATTACCTAACAAAATGAAGGGAATCACATTCCCTTCAAAATCCTATGTGGAGGGAATGTTACATTCCCTGGGAATGTTATATTCCCTCAGAGAAAATGAACCAAACATAGGAATGTAAGCTCGGGAATGTCACATTCCCTTGGTTATATAATATAACCTGAACCAAACGCCCTCTTAGTGGCCACCTAACTAAGCTATTACGTCAGGGTTACGCTTGTAATATACGCGGATTATATATAGACACCTCAATCGTCAGACTTGGTACTCGCATATGGATCTCCAAAATTACCAACAAAAAATGCAGAAAATCGAGGAATACTGCCCCAGTTTCAGCAGCTACTCGTCAGATAGATTAGCCGAGATCGCCGCTAGAACGGTAGATGAATTTAAGCGAGAGAGTTCTGTGCCTGTTGAATTTATCGCGGAGGAGGCCGATGACGAGGAGGATTTTGAGTTCTCTTTGGTTCCGGAACATTCAGAAGCTTTCGCCGATGAGTGCTTTTATGACGGTCAAATTGGTTCCGTTTTCCCCGTTTTCAACCGCAAGCTTTTGTTAGATGCGGAGCAGGATCAAGGAGATGAAGGTAAGGAGGAGGAATTGTGTGATCGTGATGTGGATAGTTCGATTCGGATTCCGCTGAGGGATTTGTTCCTACAAGGGAAGGAAGATAATGATCTCGAACCGCAGTCGTCGTCATCGTCATCTGAAGTCGATGAGTTGGAGAGTTTGCCGCCGGGAACGTACTGCGTGTGGCGTCCGAAAAGGAACGAGAACGAATCGTTTCCGACTGAATGTAAGAAGAGTAGCTCTACAGGATCGTCATCGAAGCGATGGAAGCTTCGCGATTTGTTGCGCCGGATGAACAGTGACGTCAATGACAGTTACGTATTTTTGACTCCAAAAAAGGAAGAAAACTCGAAATCCAAGGAATCCGGCTTGGTATTGAAGGTCACCGGGAAAACAAAGGTGAAGAAGGATAAGGAGGCAGCACCGTCGTCGATGGCCGCTCACGAGGCGTTTTACTTGCGCAATAAAGCGGCCAAGGAAGGTGAGAAACGGAAATCGTATCTACCGTACCGGCGAGACTTGGTAGGCTTCTTTGCTAACGCCAACGCTGGGGGATTTGTGAAAGAGTTTCCATTCCATTAAACCCTCTAATCACCCGCAAATTCAGATCTCATAAGCCATAACATTATTGTAAAGTTTATTTCTAATTTTTAAATATTAACTTTCTTCATTATTATATTATAGTGAAAAGAACATGTGATAATATATCATATATAATTATATATACACCATATATGTTATATACGGAGTATATAAAGATTTTGGTACTATATGTATTGTAAAATTTAAATATACATAATTTTCTTCAACTTGCTTTTCTTCGTTTCTATCGCCAAGCCATATAATGACGAAGTGGTTAAGCTTTCAGGCGCCGAATAATGTGATCAGAAAGGTGACAACTGACAATAGTCATGCCACCCAGACGGGTTGCCATTTAGTAGCCTACACTGCTGATCAGGTCCACTTAATCACTGTACTTGTCTAGTTTTTTAATAACACGTTTCCTGTTCTGCGGTGCCTAATTCATTATTTATCTGTAATGTTCTTATTTAATATTATTTTTTTTTAATACGGTATTAAACTTTTAACTGAAAAAGGTTGTAGCCTTTTTAGAATATGGGCATACGTCCATGCATAATGGGTCATAATGAAGCCCATGTTATGTTTCTTTACGATGTCGTTAAGAGTTTGCCTATTCATTTAGAGTTGATGTGTATTCTATTAAGAGCTTATGGTCCTGTTTGGTAAAAATGGCTGTTAGCTGATAGTTGTTTGGTATAATTTTTTTTCTCAAAAAGTTAATTGAGTAACTTTTTGAATTTTAGCCTTTTGGATTTGCAAAAAGCTAATTAACCAAATATTTATATTGGTATTTTAACAAAATCAAATCCTTTATATAATAAAGCTATATGGTTTGGGAAATAATTAATTTTACAATTAATGCCACAACATCTTTTATTATTAAAAAAAAAACACATTAAATAGCTATATATTATATAATCAAATAAAAAATATACTTTTGAAAAATAAAATAGCTATATATTATATAATCATATAAAAAATGTGTTCAATTAGAGTTTAAATTTACACATACAAAATTTGAAATTTACTTTCCAAATGTAATTATCTTAGTTATTATTCGTATTGTGAAAATTATAATATAGATGAAATACAATTAAGAATAAATCAATGTAATTATGTAAATTCTCTCTATAAGTTTATTGGAATATGCACATAATTAGAGATTATATTAATCATACAAAATTATAATTATAATTATAATTATAATTTTTAATTATAATTTTGTATTCTATAAAAATAATAAATACTTGACCAATGAAAGCTCAAAAATATTATTATATTAAATAATTTAAAATATTTTAATTTTTCTATTTTTTATTTATATTTATAATAACATTTTTCCCCTGCATCGCGCGGGTGAATTACTAGTAATTAATAGTGATTAAATAAGTCAAAATTAACCTATAAACCAATTTTTTACCAAACAGGACCTATGTGTATTATACTAAGAGTTTATGTGTATTATGTATTATGTTTATTATATTATAATTTTATATGTATTTTATTATACAATTTTATACATTTGAAATATAATTTTCTTTTAAAAGCTAGTGATAAAAAAGGGAAGTAGAATTAAAAAAAAAAAAAAATACAAAACGATGTCGTTTGGTCAGGACTAACAATACATTATGCCCTGCACGATATAATTTGCCGAAAAAGAAGAGAAAATATCTCATGAGATTAACGGTCTGAGGATCCGGTGCATATGGGCAAAGTCCCCTTGAATACACGGACAAAGCTCACATGGCCAGTGGTGTCTTAGCTCCACTTTACGGCGGTTCTTCCTCAATTATCTTCTAATAACCGCCATCACATGCGTCCAAGCTCCAAGAATCAGCTCGAATCTCACTGCATCATTTCCATTCGGATTAAAATAATCTAAATAGAATCATTTCAATGATATTTGGTTTTTTTTGATCGTGAGAGCTAAGTAAAATCACATTCATAATGTGTTCGCTACAAATTCCAAGTTTCAGAGGCTTTGATCACTCTCCTTTCAACGGGAGCTTCTCTTCTTCGACGAAGAGGTTAGGAAAAATTGAGAGTTGTTCGTCCTTTTGGGGTAAGGAATTGTGTTTGAGCAATGAACTGGCGGTTGATAAGCGGTTGCCACGCCGAAGGATTTCTAGGGTTATCGCGATGTCTGCTTCGAATGTTTCGTCTTTCAAGATGAATTTGAACGAGTACATGGTCGTACTGGAGAAGCCGCTCGGCATTCGCTTCGCCCTCTCCGTTGACGGAAAGATTTTCGTTCATGCTCTCAAGAAGGGGGTAAGTCTTCTCAATTTTATAGTGGCTTCATAGCCAAATCTCTAGTAGTGTATATATTTACTTACATTTGAGTATGCTCTTTTATGAATGTATTGGTTTTTTACTTCTGTTAATTTCACATTACCAACTTGGTAGTCTGTATTGTCCCTACTTAGTCGAAGTACTTTGCAGGGAAATGCTGAAAAGTCGAGAATAGTTATGGTGGGTGATACTCTGAAAAAGGCGGGTGAATCTAGTCTTACTGAGATCAAGGACTTTGGTGATATAGAGTATGCGATACTATATTTTCTTTGTCAAGAAATAATATCACATACAAAAGTCTCTTCAGTTGGCAATCCAATAAGTGGATGTTTCTTGTGATGGTTTCTGTAGGAAGTTGATGCAAGATAACTCAGGATCCTGTAGCCTTGTTCTTGAAAGACCTTTCTCCCCATTTCCTATCCACCAGTTGTATCTTATGGATGATGTTGATATTCTTTTCAATAGAGGTCGTGTTCCTGTAGTCACTTGGAACAAGAATTTGCTTTCCTCAAACTTAAGAACGTCGTGTGAGAGCAGTGGGAATTCTGGATTTGCCTCATTTTCACCTAAATTTCTTACTTCCCAAGGATGGAAAGTTTTGGATAGTCAAAATGAAATCAGAGAGCAAAATGCACTGAACAATACCCCTCCGATACCGTTTAGTCCGCTTGTGAATATCTTCTGTGAGAGCAACACAGGAGATGCTGAATGGGCTCATGGGAGTTTTCCATTAGAAGAATACATAAAGGCGTTGGACCGATCAAAGGGGGAGCTATACTACAATCATGCTCTTGGTATGAGATATAGCAAGGTATGATATTGAGCACCCCTGCATATTTCAATTGTTAATCTTTTGAAGTTGTATAAAATGTTTTCTTGAGCTGAATTCATTTGCGATATGATTTCTTTCCAAATATTTTTTAAATGTTAATTACTGTAACATCAATTTCAAAATTTCATCCTTAATTTGTTAAAATGAACCCTCTTGTTATGCCTTCTTTTGATACTTCTTCACTTTGTTACTTGCAAATGTGCTGTGTCAGATCACAGAACAAATATATGTTGGATCATGCATACAAAGGGAAGCCGATGTTGAGATGCTGTCTAATGTTGTGGTGAGAACTGTTGACATTCTGATTTAAGGGGTCTTCTTTGTTTCTTCTTTTTAACTATTATATAAAAATAATACATTTTAAATGTCTATTGTTTTGGTGTGTATATACAATTTCACTTTTATCCATATGTTCACAGAAGTGATTTCCATTAGTTTTGATGGTGCCCATCATAGCCAGGGAAGTATAATATAGATAATTAGATATACACAAATATAAGATTTGAGTCTGTGGTGTGTTCATTTCTGGATTTAGTTGTTTTTCGTTCAGTTACTTGTGTATAATCCAGGGAATGTCTGCATCAGGGGATCAATGCTGTGCTGAACTTTCAGGGTGGAATTGAGGCAGAAAATTGGGGAATCAATTCAAAAGAAATTAATGAATCATGCCAAAAGTTTAATATCCTTATGATCAACTATCCCATAAGGTATCAACGACTTCATGGTCAATTTTGCTCTCCATTCTACTCCCCCATGAAATATGATGTAGACTACTACTGGGACCTATTAGTTGGTTACTCTGATATAAAGGAACATCTAGACCATATGGAGTAGTACCATTCACTGCCTATTCTTTTGATACATGAAATGCTTTATTTCATCATATGATAATGGATGACTAACATCTCCTTTATAGTATGTATAGTTTCAACAAGTAATGGATGAGAAGTTACAAGTTACAACTCAATTTTATAGTATTACATTTCTTTATTGGTCAATATAGCAGATGGTAAAGGAAAGTCGTTGATCAGGATCCATTTCTTCTGCAGGGAGGGAGATTCTTTTGACATGAGGAAGAAACTACCATTTTGCGTTGGCCTACTTCTTCGCTTGTTGAAAAAGAACCATCGTGTTTATGTCACCTGCACCAATGGTTTTGATCGATCTCCCGCTTGTGTGATTGCATACCTTCATTGGATGACAGATACTTCCCTTCATGCTGCCTACAATTTTGTCACTGGCTTGCATTCATGCAAGCCTGACAGGTTATTCTCATCAACTTATACTCTTCTTCTTTTTAATTTAATTTGATTTTTTTTTTTTGGGGATAAGGGTCAATAGGCCCTTCAACTATAAGCCAAAGTGCAATTAGCCCCCTAAATAAAAACAAGCTCCAACTAGACACTTTAACTTCTCATTTTTATGCACTTAAGTTAATTAACAGGTTACCTCTAAGTAATCGGTAAATTTTCTTTCTTAAATTAAAAAAATTAATTAAAATTAAAAAAATATTTTTATAATTTAGATAAAATAATTAAATTAGAAAAAAAAACCTCCAGTGGCTTCCCCATCCAACTGGATGGAGAAGCTTGCCTGGCTTCTCCGTTCAGTTGGACAGAGACGCCGGCAATATGTTTTTTTTTTTCAAGTTTATTTTTATTTATTTTTTTTAAATTCAATTTTATTTGCTATTACCTTGAGTTTACCTGCAAAATAATCTAATTGCATAAATTTAAGAAGTTATTGGCTAAATTGCATAAAAGTGAAGAGATCTCTAATTGAAACTTTTCTTAATTTAGGGGGCTAATTGCACTTTGGCTTATAGTTGAAGGACCTATTGACCCTTTAAAAAAAAAAAAAAAAAAAGAACTCTTAAAATGTGTGTGCATGTGTGAATGTGTTTTCTTTTTAATGCACAAGTAGTGGTTATTAAAGAATGGTTGACTAATCTATGAGGATTTTTGCAGTTGTTATGTGTGATGCGTCAATGACAAATAACAAAATTGTAGAACTTTTCTAGGATTTAATCTCAAGAAATTTTCGGCATTTGAGATTACTACTGATGCACATTTGACCTTTTGCTTAATTTTTTTTAGCTTATATTCAACTTGCTTTTACTATTAGTTTTCTCCTTTAAGAGGGATTGCTAACAGCCAATGTAAAGTAATAAATTTCTGTGATATTTTGTGTATAGTATAAGGTTTCATAATTTTAAAAGAAATAATAATAATAATAATAATAATAATAATAATAATAATAATAATAATAATAATAATAATAATAATAATAATAATGTGCAGGCCAGCCATTGCATGGGGAACATGGGATCTGATAGCTATGGTGGAAAATGGTAGACACGATGGACCTGCAACACATGCAGTTACCTTTGTGTGGAATGGACCTGAGGTAAATCAGCTCAGTGCTTATTTATTCCATTAATAATTATGCTAAAAACCCGAAAATTAGTGAGAACGTTTATGCAATTTGTGAAATATCTTTTCTTCTTGCCTTCTTGGTAGGGTTGGCACTTGTGCTGTTCTTCTTTATCATGTACATGTGCTGAATATGTTATCTCCTCAACAGTGAAGATATTGTCATTTTTTATGACAGGGAGATAATGTCTTCTTGGTTGGGGATTTTACGGGGAACTGGAAAGAACCGATTAGAGCAGTCCACAAAACTGGCCCTAGATTTGAGGCTGAAGTTAGACTCTCACAGGGAAAGTAAGTTGTGTTTTTCTTTCTCTTAAGAATATTGATAGATTCTCTTAAGAACATTGGGTTTCAAGCTTCTAAATGTGTGGATGGAACTCTACAAGTGCCAAGTCTGGGTTTCCCTTGTTTAGTATACAGATCTTTTGACATGTGAAAAAGGGATGAATGTCAAATGCAAGCATTTGGGATTTTCCTGGTCTGTTCCATGATCAGTTTTGGCATAGATCTTTGAACCAAACCATCATTTTGCATTGAGTGCATTTTAGTCATTTGTATTACCAAATTGCAGAAAATGCCTCTTAACTTGAATTTCGCAGTACTAGTCGTCATTGGTATTGCATTCATTTGGCAGTTTTATTACCTGATATTCATATTTGTTATTTTCAAATCTTTTAGTACTGAATGTCATTGGTAGAATTTGTTTATGCTCTCTATCCTTTTCTTCTACATGTCTTGCTGGCATTAGTTTTTACAACTTAGAAAATTGTTATCTTTGTATACTAGGTACTACTATAAGTACATTATAAATGGACAATGGAGACATTCGACAGATTCAGCGACTGAAAGGGATGAGAGAGGCAATACTAATAATGTGATTGTGGTGGGTGATATTGCCAGTGTGAGGCCTTCTATGCAACAGCAGACGAAGGTTAGTTCAATCTTTTGCCCTCTGCTTCAGTAAACGTACAGAATAGATAATATATGCTATCATCTTACCAAATTGAGATCCAAACTAATACATTTGATACCAATAATGAGCTCTTCCTATTATTTGTTCCCTCTTCCTTTTGTTTTTGGGAAAAGAGAGGGAGAACCCCCCTCCCCTGGGTGGATTATGAGCTATTGATATATTATTGCAATGGTTGCTTATATGTTCTTACTCTTATATGTACTAGGGTGCAAATATCATCAAGGTTATAGAGAGACCATTGACAGAAAACGAGCGCTTTATGCTTGCAAAAGCTGCTCGGTGTATTGCATTCTCTATTTGCCCTATAAGGCTAGCACCAAAATAGCGGACTATACTACTACAGCATTCTCATGAAGGCTAGTGGTAACCCAGGTCAGTGATGTGGTGTGAGATTGGCGTATTCAGAAGAATTATGAAGGCTAGTAACCCAGGTCAGTAATGTGTGCGAGATTGACATTCAGAGGAATCAGAATCGTGAGATCAACTCATAGATCAGTTTAAGATTTTGACGTTACCAAATTGAATAAATCAGCTATATGGCCATATGGGTAAATCAGCTATATGGGTTGACCAAACAGGTCAGCAACTCATTTGGTAGATATTAAGTAAGGGATAGCTGTTGACTGTTGTTATGAATAAAAACATTCTTAATAGAAAGTTATAAATGATATTAATTCTCACATATCTTATCTCCTTTGGTAGATATAAGTAAGGTATAGCTGTTGTTATGAATAAAAACCATCTTAATGGAAAGTTGTAAATGATTTTCCTCTGAAATAGAAAATACTTGCACCCAAATGTGTCTGTCAAAGAAACCACACACACACACACACACACACACACACACACACACACACACACACACACATATATATATATATATATATATATATATATATATATATGTCTCTGTGTGTTTCTTTGTATTACACACAACACATACTTAGTATGCATACATTATAATGCTTAATATGCACACACGCGTTTATTGGTTCTCATGGATTCATGAGAAAGTTGACTCTCATAGGAATTTCACCTCATATGTATGTATATGTATATATATATTGTTTGTGTATGTTATATATATCGCCACCTTAAGGTTTTGTTCTTTGCACCGGCAGTCTCCGTGCAAATGTATAATATTTGGAGCATCTACACATGTTTCATCCGTAAACAGTTTCTATCTACTGTTAGGTTTACAAATTTGCCCATTAATATTAACGAAGACATCAGGTCGAAAAATATATACCTGCAGTGTCCGATGGTAAAGGGGGCGGAACGAAAGTGTGTTGCCATACAGTATATTTTTTATGTACACAATTTAGATATCAAGAAACAATTAGTATAGGGAGATTTATTTTATAAATACAGCAAGTTTAACGTTACTCATCCAATTCAGCCTCCTAACCTCTTATGATTCATCAGGCTTTGGTTCCAGGATTACAGGAATCTTTTCCTTTTTGTCACCACGCAAGACTTCCACAATCACCTATTCATTAAAAAAATTAAAGAAAATAAATGGCGGTAAGCGCTTGCATTTATCCTGAACAAGCATTGGAAAAAAAAAAGAAAAAATTTTAATTTTGGGTTCTGCCCGAACCTTTTCACCCACTTTGCATTGGTCAAGAATTCTGTACAAATCAGTGCCATTAGAGACTTTTTTACCATTTACAGAAGTAATGATATCACCCAAAACAAGTCTGCCATAGGAATCGCGCTTAGTAGATTGAAGCCCCTGCAGAACACAGATTAAGTTAGTTGATTAGTCATCATCCAGGTGGCTAATCATGTACTACTCTTTTATCAAGGTACAATTGTACAAATGAGCATTAGACAAAAGTGTAATAAATCATTCTCTAAATACTTTATGAAACCGGAAGGATTGCAACAGTCAAATACAAAGCATTAGCCAGAGCAACTAGTAAGTAACATTGAACTTACTGCTTTCCCAGCTGGACCATTTGGAGGAGCATCCAAGACAAGCACCCCACTAACTCCAAGTTGCTCTACAGACTGATCTGGGGCAAATTTAATTCCCAGAATTGGTCTGGTGACTTTCCCAAACTTTACCAACTGATCAACAATGCCACTTACCTGCATTTAGTAATTTGGTCATTAACTATTTTATGTTATTTTATTCCCAAGTCCTCTGCTGCTCATGCCCTGAATAAGCGCACATGGGTACGGGGAACTCTATGCACAAAAGCCTATAAGCCTGTTTGGTAAATGGCTATTAGCTGTTAGCTAATTGGGTTAATTAGAGGATATAACTAGTTGATAACATTAGCTGATTGTAAAAAAGTGTTTGGTAAATTAGTTGATAGTTGTTTGATATATTTTTTTTTTCAAAAAGCTAATTGAAAAAGTTGCTTTGAGCAGCTTTTTGAATTTTAGCATTTTGGAGTTACATAAAGCTAATTAACCAAACACTGATTGATTTTTTAACCAAGTCAAACAATTAATAGTTGTCAAATAAGCCAAAATTTGTCAAATAATATGGAATTTCTTTTAACATGTAGAAGAATAGCTAGAATGTCTTTATGTTCGCATGAACTGTGAAGCACATAGGAACTCACTGTGTCAACTGGAATAGAAAATCCAACACCTGATGATGCACCTGAAGGGGAGTATATAGCTGTGTTTATTCCAATAAGGTTTCCTGAACTATCAAGAAGTGGCCCTCCACTATTCCCTGGGTTTATAGCAGCATCTGTCTGGATAACATCCTGTATTGGGCGGCCAGTTGCAGCAGAATTGATTTCTCTTCTGAGTCCACTACATTGGTTAAAATGGATTGCACTAAGTGACATACGAGCTAGGAATGATAAAATCATCTCAGGAACGAATTACAAATTTCTCATTTACCTGATGACACCAGTGGTGAGTGTATGATCAAGCCCAAACTGCAAAGGGAATGGGCGTGAGAATTCAATAATGTATCTTTCTAAGCAAAATTCATTAATGCCAACCCTATTCTAGGTAGATTTAATAGCTCAGAAGCAACAACCTTATTAGCTAAAGCTCATAGAGATTTCTACAGTGCTTAAAGAATTACTGCTTGCCCATGCTTCTAGACATCAGAGGGACAGGGACACACAGAAAACATGTTATGAATAACCTTCAATTAAGCAAACCTGGAAAAGCAGGTTTCTTATACCAGTACTCAAAAGTGAGATGCTATGAAGTAACAATCTTTCAGTAGAGTATGGAGAAGATGGGGAAAAAAAAAAGGAAATTAGTTATAGTTCAAGCAGCAAATCAAAACTTGGGATATTAATTGGCCAAAGAAAATAAGAAAACAAACAGGTGATGCCCATATGTGTACACAATATCTTGAAAGGTTGCCTTTGCTTACAGGATTCCCAATAGCGAATACTTTCTGACCAACAAGCAAGTCTGCAGATACACCAATTGGTATAGGTCTCAACTTGTCTTTGGGTGCATCAATGTGTAGTACAGCAACGTCTTTATCTTGGTCAAATCCAACAACTTTTGCATCATAAGTACTCTGATCAGATAGAGTGACCCTGAACAAAACAAGCAACCAAGCATGATATTAATTCCAGGATTCAGAGCTTGAAGAAGGTAAAAATTTAAGAAAACCAACTTGTCAAATGAAATCATATACCAACAAAAAGTTAGAATATAGGTGAACAAAAAGTTTGATCCACTCTTTCCCCCCTTTTCATGTTATTTCAAGTCTTTCTCTCAGTTAAATCTCCATGGATGCCATCCACAATATTCATTGTGAATTGAACCATTATTTGGTGGCTCACTTACTTGTGGCTGCTGTTTATTCTGATTTCGGTGCATTTATTACATAGATGAGCACCAGTGTTTCTTCCAAGGGAGCTCTTAGGTCCACATATTTCTACTTGGGTGCCAATTGAACCCAAGAGAGGCACAATATAAATTTGGTAGACTGCTACATGCATCATCTTAAGCATGGCAATTATCTAAAAGTTCTACTGTCAATGCATCAGCAAACAATTTATAAGCCGTCAATGGGCACAACAAAGAAAAGTCATAAACCTGAGGTCAGCATGCTATAAATTGACTAACCTGAGATCTGATGCACCGCGAATAACATGATAATTCGTGACAATGTTACCATCTCTATCCCACACAAAACCTGAACCAGAACCTTGAGGCACCTCAAACACATCCAATGTGAACACATCTTGCCTAAATATAAAAAAGAGCCAATAATCAACAGAAAGGTCAACCTAATCTGTTAGAAAAAATGGCCAGTATAGATTAATGAAACAGTTTATTTCCGGAGCACAGGCATCAGTAAGATAATGAACTAAAAAATTGACAAAAAAGTTGTGGTTCAGCTGTAATATGCCTACTCCACAGGCAAAGACGATGAAGCTTATTTCATTAATAAGAACAAATAGAAGATTACAAAATGATTAACAAAGTCCAAACACACTAGTTTCCAAAGCTTCTTATCATCGCACAATCTTTGAATGCTATTTACTACTACTCTAATATTATGAAGCATGATTTCAAGGGACATACTAACCACTAGCGTGGTAGTGATAAGCAGTAGAAATGTTATAATATAGCAAATTAACTCCTAACGTGCAATTTGATAGTGATTTAGTGATTAACAACAATAAGTATCCACTAACCAAGCTGATTTTGATTTGGTGTTTATAGAAAGAAATTCAAGGAACTAATTTAATTTCCAACAGAATCAAGTACGAAATAAGAGCTACATTCACAAAATCATATTCTAGAAACTACATAGCAATTTTGCTAATGAATCCTGATATTCTCGGAATCACGATCACCGGAGCCGCAATAAGCATATAGAAAATCACCTGGCAGCGAGATTAGTTATATAGACAACGGAAGGCGTATTCTCCTGAAAAAGCCGGACGGTAGCCAGCTCATCTGTCTGCAGCTTCCTCGGCGGAGTGACTACGAAGGCGGATGCAGCATCGACATCGGCAAGGAACAACGATAGAGACAAGACGGCGGAAGTGCAGGCCACGAAGATAGTATCCAAAAGCTTACTGGACGGCGAGTCCTCATCGGAGGAGCTACTTCGACATACAAAAACTGTAATGCTAGGGTTCCGGCGGGTAACTAGAGGCTTACTGAGCGAAAATCTGGAGCTGATCGAAGGCGAGGAGCGGGAAAAAGCTCGAGCTCGATTCACGGAGAAGAAAGAGGAAGACGAAATCAGCGAGTGCGAGCACGAAGCCATTTCCGAGGAAGCAACAGTTGACTGAGAGAGAGAAAATCGGAGGAACGAATAGAAATATAGAATTGGTTATATTTCCGGTTATGTATGATGTAAGCTGTCAACGTACTTCCTTGTAACGTGCGGTCGCGAGCATGGAGTTACGATGCGCCTTAAAATGATTTCTGGGCCCGCTTATTTCAGAAGCCCAATTTGTGGTCGTTGAGCCATGAATGGGATTGCTAGCTTCAGTATGAATGCTTTCAGATTCATTCTGCACCGTAGGATAGAATTCCTCTCCGTCAGATATAGAGACTTCTACACTAGTCCGTCGATGGGCCCACATCGTGATAACATTATTGGACCACGGACCTATCCATAATAAATATGAGTCGGGTTATAGAATACATACGGGAGACACAAGATATTATGTTTTAAGTTAACTTTTTTTAAAAAAATTTATTACGGAGTTTGTCATAATGCAAGTTTCATCATAGGTGCACTTAATACAAATATTTTGTGAATTTTTAAATTTTCTTGAGAATAATTATGATTCTTAATTTTAAGAATGAGTTATAAGAATTGCTATGTTATAATTATGAGCTACAATAGTTGGATTGTAAACATAAGTTTTACAATTTTGTGATTGTTGGTGTAAATTACTCTTGTTTGATAAGTAGTGAGTACACATGTTCTTGGTAGAAGACCAAGTTAGGATACAATAGGACTATGGTGGTTAGAGAGTTTTGATATATAATCTGGTGAGAAGGGATAATTATTCAAAAAATATATTTGCCGGTTAGGTAAAATTTTAGTTTTTTAGTTTTTTTTTTTCTTTTAATTATTTCGGTTGAGACATCATATGATCTATAGATGAGTTCATTTATGTTGGAATCCATAGAAGTTTTTGTCATGATTGTCAGAAATTATTAACAAGGTTATGTGTCCTTTAGAAAGTATTATATTCCTGAAGGGTCATGTCCTACATCTATATAAAGGATCCTAATCTTTCAATCTTAGAGGAAGCAATCATAAACTAATCCAAACCATTTTTCCTTCATTCTTTCTATTTTTCTTCAATATAATATAGAATTATTTTTCTATTTTTTTCCAGCTTAACAACATCAATTATTTACCATTGCGTGATATACAGGACTTTGATACATCATAATGGCAGATGACTTAGCCACCATCTTTGGCTTATGAGTTTCATGATTGCTAAACCTTGATCCATATATAAACGTACAACATAAGTAACATACTATAATTATTATAAATAAATAAATAAATAAATAACACATACAGTAAAAGAAAAAGAACATACTTGTTGAAATAATTCATGTTCTTTCTCGAAACTTGGGTGCGAAGGTAAGGAACAAAAAGGTTGTCCTTTTGCAAAATGAGGGAAAAAAAACAGAAGAAATCGATGGTGGTGGCATGCTATCAATCATGGGATTATATATATATATATATATATATATATATATATATATATACAACGCATATATACAAACTCAGAGAAATGAAGAGCTGAATCAGGCATGGAGATTTGGAAGAGAATATTGGTGTTTGAGATGATGCTGATGAGCCTTGGATTAATGGGCTGTTTGGTTAATGGAATTGGCGGTGGTCTTCCGCAGAGAAGATGTTGGTTCCCGGCGGTTTACAACTTCGGCGACTCCAATTCCGACACCGGAGGACGCTCAGCCGCGCTGGGAGAGGTGCGTCCTCCCAACGGTGAAACATTCTTCGGTAAACCTTCCGGCAGATACTGTGACGGCCGTCTCGTCATTGACTTCATTGGTAACCATTTCTTATCCCCACGTTCGAACCAAACAACTTTTTACAGTACAGTTTTTTACTTGTGACTATATATATATGCAGCTGAGAATTTAGGTTTGCCGTACTTAAATGCGTATCTTGACTCCATCGGCACCAGTTTCCGGCACGGCGCAAATTTTGCAACCGCCGGTTCGTCCATACTTCCCGGCGGCTACAGCCCATTTTTCCTGGATATTCAAATTTCTCAGTTCATCCAATTCAAGAAACGCACAATTGAGCTCTATAATAAGCTTGCTGGTAAACAGTTTTCCGATCTATTTCCCCAGCAAAATATAATGAAGAAATTTTTTGGTTAATAAACTCAACATTTTTCTGTGAGTGTAGGCACAAATCAAGTGTATAAAGACGTTCTTCCGAGACCAGAAGAGTTCTCCAAGTCACTTTACACATTCGACATTGGACAGAACGACCTCTCCCATGGTTTCCAGTACTCCAACGTATCACAAACCCTCCAATCCATCCCAAAAATTATGGACAAATTTTCCCAAGCTCTTTATGTAAGTCATTTTTACTCATATATTTTACATTATTACATATGTGAATCATCCCCTTAATTGCAATATAAATAAGATTTTGGATAAAGAGGAATTACTTATTACCACCACTATCTCAAATCAATAAAGATAATAGGTTGCTCCACCTAAGTATAACCTTGTGATTACTAAACAAACATTCTGACGTACAACATAGGGGCTGTCAATATAATAGCTTACTAACTAAGTTGTTTTACATTCATAACTGCCCTGACCGGCTCAAATCAAGAAGAAAGCAAATAGAGTAATAGACCCGTTCACTTAATTAAAAGTAACCTTGTAATTACTAAATTAACTGTCTGACCAATTTACCTACTTTAACCCTATAAATCAAGATTTTGATCCTTAACTCAATGCCCCTAATGCCAATAACTGGTTCCATACATTGTTTCAGCAACTATACGGAGAGGGTGCAAGGAACTTCTGGATACACAATACAGGTCCAATAGGGTGCCTGCCAATCAGCGTGGCGTACAACAAAGACAACCACAACAACGTAGACAAGAACGGCTGCGCGGCGACACATAACCGGGTGGCGCAGGAGTTCAACAGGCAGCTCAAGGCCCGCGTTCTGCAGCTGCGTGCGCAGCTCCAACAAGCCGTCTTCACCGTCGTCGACATGTACTCTGCTAAGTACGCCGTGGTTAGCAACGCCGGAAGCCATGGTTTCCAAGACCCATTCACTTTCTGCTGCTGTGGCAAGAATAAGAAGATGGCGAACGAGACGGTGTATGGCGATCCGTGTAGTGACCCCTCAAGGCATATTAGTTGGGATGGCGTGCACTACTCCGAGGCGGCAAACCTAATTCTCGCAAGATCTATTATGTACGGTGGTTCATTTTCTGACCCTCCACGTCCGGTTGCAGAGGCTTGTCGTTAGATCGAGCTGAGTATGCAATTGCAATGGCGGATCGGAATTATTGAACCAGGATTTAATTTTAAACCGGGTCTAGCTAATTATTGGGATTATTCAAAAAGCTAATTATTGGGATTTGGGATGGCATATCTTCACTGAATCACCGGTTTACCCCATACCATTTGATTTGATTAAGAATGTTGTCCGCAAGGCCTTTACATGTAAACTAGGGAAATCTTTTTTTTTTTTTTTAAACACCATAATAGCTTTTAAATTCGAGTTTTGGTTGGATGTTATATTATCCGTTATATATATATATATATATATTTTTAAAAAGTACACTTTTAATTCCTCAATTATTGTCTATAGTGTAAATTTTCTTCCGTTATATATCAATTTTATTAAGAAAAAACTCACTTAATTCACCTCAGTATTGTTAATTTCGTCTCTAAGTTAATACCTATAATTTAGACGTCAATAGAAAGTTGGTCCCTTGTTAAGTTTGACAAAGACTTAACTACAAAATAAAGTGATTGCATTTAAATTTTTAACCACTTTTTTATTTGATGGTTGAAATTTTTAATAATTTTCTGGCCACCATAGATCGGTGGTTGAAAAAAGTAAATAAATCATAAAATTTTGAGTGGTTGAAATCTTGAAATGTTTAATTAGTATTGAAAGTTGCATTAAACCTATTAACTCTCCTATTGGTCATTGTAATGGACCTTCTCCGATTATGTTTATGTCTTCAAGTTAGAGTTTGAAGTGTGGTGAAGATCATATTAAATTGATAATGAGAGCCTAAATTGTATAACGTACAAAAAAAAGTCTTAATTTTTGTTATTTAAAGAACGTACAATAAGGGTGGACAGAAATATTACATATAATTATAACATTATTACATTAAGGAACCATGCATTATTACATCAGATTTTTATTCTTGCAAACAAAATAAAAGACCATACTTAATTAGTAGCATTCATGCATGATAAATCTTGGAGCGAGGAAGCTAAGCAGTCGGAATTGAATCAGAGAATTGGATGAACAACCACTTTTCCGGAGGCTCTGCCGGTGTCAAGGTAGGCAAATGCTTCAACAACCTGGGAGAAGGGAAAAGGCCCGTTGGGGTCAATCACTGGCTTCACTTTCCCCTCCTCGATGAATGGCTTAAGTTTCTCTAAAGTGGATCCCTTTGAAATCACTAAATGAAAGGAAGCAGGTGGAAAAATGGCTCCTTCCACTATCTCCACTACATTCCCTCCTTCCTTCACTGCTTTTACAGCCCTTTCACACTGCCCTGTTTTCACATAACAAATCATTTTATCAGCCATAATACAACTAGTTTATGCTAGTTTCTTTTTTTTTTTTTTTAATAATATAGAAAATCGCAACCATTATCAAGGGTAATGTATCCTGAATAAATTCTAATGATCGTAGCCAATGAAGGATCACAAAGGGATTGATACTGTTGTAAACTCGGCCTAGGTGGCGCCATGCCGTGCCGTTTTTTATTGTAGTCGGCCATTACTTGGCTGGCTGCCTAGGCGGCCAACTCGGTCGAGTGGATCAATTTTGGCCGATTTCGTCCGATTTTGACTAATTTCGATCAATTTGACCGATTTCATCTGATGTTGTCTTTCATTAATTATTGATTTTAATATTATTATGATGTTATGACTTATAAATTATCATTATTTTATTTATTTGGATGTGTTATTTGATTAAATGTTGAAAATAGCATCATTAAAATTGTCAAACGCTGCCTAGATTCCGCCTAGGCCCCGCCTATACCGCCTAAACACTAGGCGCTGTCCGGACGCCCGACTAGGGCCTAGGGCCTACTGCAACCCTGGGGATAGATAAACCAGTCTTTTTAATTTGAGGATTAATCTTAATCTTACCGACAGTATCATAGACGACATCGAACTTCTGCGGCAAGTCTTCCACGTTCTCCTTTGTGTAATCAATCACCTTATCAGCGCCAAGGCTTTTGAGCAACTCGAATTTTTTAGCGCTGGAGGTTGCAGCAATTTCAGATGCACCAAACACGTGCTTTGCCACCTGAATCACGAGACTTCCAACACCACCGGCGCCACCCAAAACAAGAATGGATTTTCCGGCGGAAATGCCGCCGGCCTGTTCAAGGCCGCCGTACGCAGTCTCAATAGCAAGTGGAAGGCTAGCGGCTTCAGGGAAGCTTAGATTATTGGGTTTGAGAGCAAGGAGGTTCTCTTCCACGGCAGTGTACTCCGCCAAGGAACCAAATTGTCTGGGATGATCCGTAGGATGTTCGTTTATGTTACCGTACACTTCGTCACCGACTTTAAACTTCGTTACTTCACTCCCCACCTTCACCACTATCCCGGCAACATCGTATCCCGGAACAATCTGCATAATGATATTTCATGTTAGAATATAATGCTTAAATATAAACTACTACGTATATATTAATTGGGACGCCGGAGACGTTTACCGGAAAAGGGGCATCAGTGGACCGGAATAAGCCGAGCATACGTTTGGCGTCTACGGGGTTGAGAGCGGCGGCGATAACTTTGATGAGAACCTGGTTATCTTTAGGAGTTAGAACCGGCAAATCTGTATGAAATTGGAGGACATTTACGGCTTTCCCGTCTTGGGTATAAGCCCAACCCTTCATCGTCGAAGGAATTGCAATGCTCTCTGCTGCCATGAATTAGGATGATGAACAGAAGTTTACTTAGCTTAAATTAAAGATGGTACGTTTTGGTTGTGGATGAAATGAAGAAGGTTCAATCTTGCCACATATATATAGACTTTTCCTTTGCATGTTTCAACGGATCAGATTTATGGATGCATTTTATGTATTTTGCCATGATTTAGTCACCAGGTTCAGTCTTGCAGGATTGCATTAATTGTGTCTTTGTCTTCAACCATCAATTGATGACGTCATGGCATACCATTATTGGTAGTCTGGTATATGATATATTATTACGATATTAAGAGGTCGCAAATAGCAAATGATTTTTCTGCATGTATTTATATACCAAAAGTGGCAAGAATAATAAACTGACGTCACGGCATACCATTTCGATCTGCAGTTCTGCACCTTTGACCTTTAAGGAGAAAAAAAAAATATTTTGTTTTGAGTAACCGAGGATCAACAGGATATGCATTGGTTAAACTTCACCTAATGATTTTAGTTGGCAACGATTACACAAACAAGGTCAATCAACCTATATTGTTTGTTAGGAACTGATCAACTTATAATCTGCTTGTGGTTACCAAGTCAAGTCTTTACTTGAAAAGTGCATAATCAATTTAAAATTTATAATTATCAAGTCAACTGTCCAATCAACTCAATTGAAGTATCATGCTTTTACTAGGTACTTATTATAGAAACCAATAATAAAAATAAAACATAAATACTAAAGGGTCATGTTATATATTTATATCCCTCCACATAAATCATCATTCTATTTTTTCTTTTTACATTTATCTTTCAGATGTGTCAATAAAATTCATTTGCTATTCCTAAATAATTGATTCTACTACAAATTAAAAATAGTTTATTTAACAATTAAATACAAAAAAAAATAATTAAAGAAATAATGAGAAAGTAAATATTAAGAAACTGCAAAAAAAAAAAAACCTCTCAGCCTCTCTGTCCTCCCAAACCTTGCTTCTCGCCGTTCCTTCGTAGGGTGGCCGCCGGCCTCTGGCCGACTCTGTCCTTGGCCAGCGGTCTCATACTTCCGTAGTTATTTTGTTTTTTAGTTTCTCAATTTTCACCACCAAATCTAATCAAGAAGCCCCTCACCATTGTCCACGCTTATTTTTCAACAAAAAGAGAAAAAAAAAAAAAGGCCGTGTCAGTGTTCTTTTCTTGAATCTAGGTAAGGAAGGCTTTGAGTTCTGAAAAAAGACAAGAAGTTCTATGCTTTGATCAAGGACAAGAAGTCCTGGTGTTTTCTTGACAGAAGAAGGAGTGGAGTTCTGTTTTTTTATCTAATGATCTGTGTTTTTCACTTTTTCCATCAGTTATTTTGACAAGTTATTTCCTCTCGCTTCTTTGGCGAGTTATTCCATCTCGTTTCTTTGGCGAGTTCTTTTTTCATTAAGGTGAAACGATTTAATTGATCATGGCGTATGTTTATCTCATCCTGAGCAACGAAGAAGATCTGAACCATGATATGCAATTCAGATTGATGAAGATATTGTCTACGGACATAAGAGCTACAATAGTTACTCAAGTGGTATGCAAGACTTCTCAAACGGAGTCGGTCTTGGATAGCCAGATCATTAACAACATCAAAGAAGCTTCAGGTTCCTCCAATGAATTCAGCTTCAATCTTGTAACACAGTTTGCGATTCAAGTTTCTTTTAGCATTGCTAGAAAAGTTGTTTCTATGTCCGACGGTAAAGAATGTTTTATCATTCTATGGATCTTTATTGTAACTGTTTCATGATTAATGAATTAGCTCTTTATTTAAATTAAAGAAAAAAAGCAAAAAAAAAAAAAAAAAAAAAAAAAGCTAAGGGAATGTAGAAATTAAGAAGGCACAAGTGTCAAATAAACTCATCTATTACTGCGAAGTGCTCAATTCTCACCACGAACTAAATTAAGTGTCAAATAGACCTATTTACCAGCTAAATTTGTTCAATTGGCATTTTTTACAGGCTACTAGCAAGTTGCGTATTTAATTATTATAAATAAATAAATAAATAGAGTAAAAATTAAAAAAAAATAAAAATAAATAAATATCAGCCACCGGCTGTCCTCGCCGGACAGCCGGTGGCTAATATTTTTTTTTAATTTTTTTTTTAATTTTTTACTCTATTTATTTATTTATTTATTTTTAATAATTAGATAGGCAACCTGTAAAAAAATGCTAATAGAATAAATTTAGTTAGTATATGAACCTATTTGACACTTAATTTAGTTTAGTTCGTGGTGAGAATTGAGCACTTCGCAGTAATAGATGAGTCTATTTGACATTTGTGCCAATTAAGAATGTTAATTAGTTGCAAAGTTTAGCATGAAAACTAGGTAAAGTGTTGAAGTTATCAAATAGGTACTTTATTAGTTTATTTATATATTTCTTGCATTACTACTCTACACACCACATTCTCATGCTCTGTGGAATGTGTTGTGCGTGACTAATCTAATAACAAATTCAAGCAATATAATATACATAAATTAAAGTTGTGTCCAAGATAACAAGCTGATCACCATAGCAAATCATGTATTATTAAATATAATGACCATATATATTTAGCAACAAGATTCATAATAGATCTTGGAGAGAGTAGGTAGAATCATGCAATCGGATGAACAACCACTTTTCCGGTGGCTCTGCCGGTGTCAAGATGCGCAAATGCTTCAACAACCTGAGAGAAGGGGAAAGGTCCAATGGGATCAATCACTGGCTTCACTTTCCCCTCCTCAATCAACGGTTTAAGCTTCTCTAAAGTTAACCCATTTGAAATGACTATGTAAAATGAAGCCGGCGGTGAAATGGGTCCTCCCACTATCTCCACTACTTTTCCACCTTCCTTCACTGCTTTTACAGCCCTTTCACACTGCCCTGTATCCACACAACAAATCATTTTATCAGACCTAATAAATATATAGTAGCCCGCACCAACGGTTGATTCTGAATTATTAATTTTTACCCGCATATAGACAGTTCAACGGGTCATAGAGGTAAAAGTTGAAAGAATGATCTCAAAGTGAGGGGCTCGTTATGGCTAGTAAGAAAAGGTCTAGCCTCTATGATTCAGTTAAATTACCATGATTTAACTCCTTCCGTAGAGTCGGGATGTGGGGCCTTAGAGTTGGGTTTCAGTCTTTTGGAAGAATAAATTATTAATCTTAATCTTACCGACAGCATCATAGACGACATCGAACTTTTGCGGCAAGTCTTCCACGTTCTCCTTTGTGTAATCAATCACCTTATCGGCGCCAAGGCTTTTGAGCAACTCGAATTTTTTAGCGCTGGAGGTTGCAGCGATTTCAGATGCACCAAACACGTGCTTTGCCACCTGAATGACGAGAGTTCCAACCCCACCGGCGCCGCCCAAAACAAGAATGGATTTTCCGGCGGAAAAGCCGGCCTGTTCAAGGCCGCCGTACGCAGTCTCAATAGCAAGCGGAAGGCTAGCGGCTTCGGGGAAGCTTAGATTATTGGGTTTGAGAGCAAGGAGGTTCTCTTCCACGGCGGTGTACTCCGCCAAGGAACCAAACAGTTTGGGATGCGCAGGATGTTCGTTTATGTTTCCGTACACTTGGTCGCCCACCTTAAACTTTGTTACTTGACTTCCCACCTTCACCACTACCCCGGCAGCATCGTATCCCGGAACAATCTGCATAATTATTTGTTAATTAAATAGCTATCAAATTAATTATAACCTATATAATATATAAAATTAATTGAGACGTTTACCAGAAAAGGGGGCTCAGGCGACCGGAATAAGCCGAGCATGCGTTTGGCGTCTACGGGGTTGAGAGCGGCGGCGATGACTTTGATCAGAACCTGGTCGTCTTTAGGAGTTGGAACTGGCAAATCTGTATGGAATTGGAGGACATTTACAGCTTTCCCTTCTTGGGTATAAGCCCAACCCTTCATCTTCTCAGGTGCGCTCTCTGCGGCCATGGGGATTAATACTAGAGCAGAATTCACCTAATAAGAGGGTTTTGGTTGTGGGTGGAATGAAGATGCAATCTTGCAGGATTGCATATGTGGACTCATAGAGACCGTACTTAGTCACACTGGGGTTGTAGACTTTTCCTTTGCATTAGGTAAGAGGAATGCCCTGTTGAGGTTTTTTTTTTGTGGGTTTTTAAATTGTCTAAGCACCTTGTGCTCAATTGGCATTCGTATTGAACTCTTATATGGGAGGTTGTGAGTTCGAGTCTCTTAAAAAAAAAGACAACGCATCTAGTTTGGAGCATGGCTTGATGGGACGCAGAGTTAGCTTTTTTTTTTTTTTTTTTTTTTTGATTGAGCCCACTGAATCGGATAAAAATCAATGTCTTTTGCAAAAACTCAATATATTTTCTATTACCCACATGTGCATTACCACATGCAAAAACCTTTTAAAATTTTCTTATTGGGATGCTCCAAGAGAAAATCGAATAGTGTATGTATTTTACTATGATTTAGTTCCGTGTTACCGTCAAGGTTTTGACCTTGGTTTCTTCTCATGGGCCATGGCATACTATTTTTGCACCTTCGGCCTTACGGAGAGAAAATTAAAGCATCTTGCTGGAAGGAAAATTATGTTTCAACTTGTGCGTTTAAGATGACATTAACCATGAATTTATTAATGCTTTAAAGGAAAGGAAACATTGATCAAGAGAAATGAGTTCTTTTTTTTTTTAATGTTACTAGCTCTATTACATTGTAGTATCTGTTCATATACTTTCTCAACCTACTGAAACACCAAGAGCCAATAACGCCTCCACCGAGGCTTGAACTCACAACCTTCCAAATAGAAGTCTAACCCGGGTACCATTAGACCACATAGTCCTGGTAAGAGAAATGAGTTCATTTTAGGGAAAATGACATTTTTTCCTCCTGAATTATATGATTATAGCACATTTTCTCCCTGAATTGTTCATGTAAGCACATTAGCCTCCTCAATTATTTTAAAAGTGGCGATTTCTCCTCCTAATATATTAAATTGACATTTCTATCATTAAAGTAAATATTTTATTTTTTTTTATTGTCTAACAAATTATTGCTTATACGAAAGTTTCCGGTTATGATTCAGATCCAGAACCCAATATTTGGATTTTAGTTTATTAAAAAATTATGAATCAAAAAAATTGAATCCTGAACCGTGAACCGACATTTCCGGATCCGATTCGCGATTTTGAACCGTCTTTATTTTAAAATTTTAATTTTTTATTTTTACAATAGTCTAAATTCAACAATAAATGTATTTTATTTTTGTTCTGTTCGAAACATGAACCGGCCATTCCGGTTCATGATTTTAATAAACTCCAAATATCAGGTTTCGATTCTAAATTGGTGTCCGTTCGGTTTGAACCGAATCGTGGTCATAATTTGTTAGAGAAGAAAAATAAATAAAATATTTATTTTAAGGGTAAAAATGTCCATTTAACATTTCATGAAGAAAAATACGCACTTGAATAATTTAGGAGAAAAAATACTATTAAGTATATAACTCAGGGGAAAAAGTGCTATTTTCCCTTAGTTTTATCATGTGTTTTACTCCATACTTTATTTAAAAAAAAAAAAACCATAATAACGTTACCATTCTAATTCCAAGATTAATACAAAGTTTAAAATTTCTTCGATCAAATACACAGGTCAAAGGTGGCTAACTGGTTGAGGGTTTGGCTTTGGTCAAGTGGAAATGAAGAAAATAGCATGGTTGAAGCTTCGTTTTTCAATGAAGGGGTTTGTTTTGAAGGTTTGCTTTTCATGAGAATCAATAAGCCACCCGAGTATTTGGTACAAATTATCTCAACTCAATAATGTCACGTTACTCAGAGAAGAAAAAGAAACAGAGTGGAAGCAAACAACAATGATGTCCCATACTTTCCAAGATTGCAAATGGCACAAAAAGATGTAGTACGGCGCCTATAATTTGATGGAAAAAAAAATATATATAGGAAGGATTTCGAACAAGTAATTTCACTATAATAAACACTGCAAATCCTTCCCTCACGGCGCTGCTGTGGAAGGACACTGGAGGGAAACCATTGTACGGAGTACATGTTATGGTACAAAAAAAAAGGGAAAAGATCCTCACAGACCTGAGAAGAATTCACGAGCCTCATAGTAACAATCTATGACAATGTTGAATAGAGGGTGAATCCGTTCGACTAGGTTGTTGGAATAAGGACCCAAGATGTCCCGGGGCAAAGGCGGAGTGCCAAAATCACTTGCACAGCTATACTGAGAAATCGAAAGACCACTCAGGCAGTAACATGTATGGTAGTGATCTCTGGCCTTCCCTGGTTTGTCCCTGAAACCGCCCTCTACCTGCATGCATGCGTCAACCATATCCAAGAATAGAGTGAATATTACAAAGATTCTACTGCATATATAGAAACTAAAGTACAGAGAGCAGGATGCCCAAGGTAGTGATTTGCACTTGGGTCCTATACCTGTGAGCAAAGTATGATGTAGCGTTGCAAATTTAGGTTGTCAAATAGAGGTCTCCTAGAAGCATGTCCATTGATAAACTCATAACCAATGTTGTTCAAGTTCTTCACTGGTTCAAAAGCATCATGGCCTGGTCCAGCTGAAAGAAATAAAATTGTTCAGATGATGAATTCAAAATCGTGAGATGCTTAAGTTCAGGAAGTTGGCCACGCCTGTTGAAATAATATTATAGTCAATATTTTAATACCTCCCTGCCTGAGATGAAAAGATTCATCCGTGTGAGTGGATGTTCCTTCAAGGTGGTCTTCTCCATCAGAGGAACTAGATGCAACAGAACCATGGTCACTCCCTGTGACAGAGTCACACTCCATAGCATTCAAATGCAATCTTTGTAATATCGCAGCCACTCCACCCTGCCAAGTAGCATCCATAGGACCATAGCTGAAGAATCTCAGAGTCCCGATATAAAACTTATACTTCTAAAGCCAACTGCTATTACCTGCCAAAATGAATAGCAACCATCTACCAACTTATTTGTTCTCCCTTGGAATCCACCTTCCACTCCTTGCCTGAATACCATCCAATCCTAGCACAAACATTCATAGTATTACATGAAATTGCTAGATAAAGAATTACAGTTGTCCAGCATAGAATATAGATGACCACACAGAAGTCACTGATCAATCATTGGCTGATATACAAAAGCAAGAGAAGTAAGCTCATAGTGAATACTATTAAAAGAAAGAACCAACTTACAAGTAAGCTTTGCAAGTCCAAACAATTAACTTCATCGATCAGAACCATTGCAGCCAAACCACAAAATGTATACCTGGGCAGATAACCAATCAGATCAGTAAGACGTTATTAGTTACATAAGCAGCTAAAAAGATTCACTTTGAGAACAGACAGAACTCTATAGAAATGGTAGCTTAATAACCATACAAGATAATATGTAAATTACATGTGCCCTAAAAATATGCAGTGTGCAGTGTGCATAAATAAGAACAGTCAAAACTCTATAAGACAAGTTGCTAAATGAACAAACAAGAAAATAAGCAGATTTAATTCTCCTATTAAAGAAATATAGAATACATATAGTATGTGACTTACCCACCATGAGCTTCAGAACCTGGTTCTCCAGCAATTCCACCTTCATATGTTTGACAACTACAAATGATCACAGAAATTGTGTGAGCTCATAAAAGTTTAAGCCATCTTAATTCTTCAAATTTATCTGTTGTAATCAACACCAGGACTAAAAATGAGCTCTTAAGTGCCTCTAATACCATGAAAATGATTCAGTACATGACTGCAAAATACACCAGGACATTCTTCTGAAGCACACTTGTCAACTCCCATCAAACATGACTAAATGAGTTACACTGGATTTAGACACATTGTTCATAGTTTCCTGAGGTAAAGAATATGCACCTAGTAGAAGAAGGGAGGTGTTAAAAACAAACCTTACAATGAAATTTCCAACATTATGAGACAGCTTATCATCAAGAATGTTCAGGATGCTTGCAACCTGACCAAATATTGCATGTATTCTATATTAGTTAGTAAACACGCAACACTAAAATACAGTTTGAAAAATAGTTTATAAAAAGGAATGATTTGCGAATAGAACTCTTTAGTTTAAAAAAAAAAAAAAAAAAAAAAAAAAAAAAAGGTGGGGAAGTGGGGGCATTGGTGAAGAAATGAAAATAGCTTAGTGGAGGAAAGGATGCAGAGCTCAAACTTACTGAAATGGCAGTATAGCACGCACGAACATCCACTTCCCCACCATCGTGCATCCTAAGAGCGAATAATTAAATATATTATGGGGGAAAATTGTACAAACGCAAAGTTACTTAGGAGTCCAAGGCCAAGATGAAATGTAGGATTGAACTAAGGTCGCTATAACAACAAAAGCACTTTAATCGGCATATGGTTAATATTCTCAAAGATCCCATTCCCTCTGATCAGATAAAGTGAAAGCAGGCAGAAAAACACATACCTGAAGCCGCCATTTGCTTCTTTCATTCGCAGCAAAAAGGAGTATAATTTATCTCTGAGATATATTACCAAATGTGTCAAGATCACACCAAACAATGCATGACATGTACATAACATAAGAAATGGGGATTGACCAGGCACCTCTTAATTGATGAGAAAGATTTTTGACCTCCCAAAGTTATGAGTGCATTAACTGCAGCATAGGTTGTTGCAAGATGTGGCATCTGACCAAGAGCAGAAGTGGATTTTATTCGAAGAAGATAAACATACTAATTTAAGAACTCCTAGACTTTGAAGTTACAGTACTCAGTTGCATGAAACAAATTTAGTAAACCTATTAACAATACAAATTCAAATAGGATTTAAGCTGCTGAAGATAAACTTGCCTGACCAGGTCCACCGCCATATCCACCATTTGGATCCTGCAGTTATGAAAAAACAAGCTGAGAATATATTTCTAGCAGTCTACTTCCTTGGTTTTCATTTTGGACACCACGTGATGTTTCCCAGCAGCTAGTCCAACTTACTATGGTTTGTTATAAATGGACAAACAGTTCAAATGCAAAGCAAAACATAAACCCAGATACAGAACTTTTCAGAAAAGAGTTCCAAAATAATAATAATAAACACATAAATCTGCTAACAAGGAAGACCGATTACAAAAGAAGTGGCATTGAAAAGTGTGAAGTACCCCGTGGAACTCTTTAAAGAAATGCAATCAAGGCTCAAGCAACAAGCATTGAATTGGACACCTAAGGACGCTCATCTGCACAGATCAATCTAGAAGTCTGCACTTTTTTACTTTTAGGAACCAGATTAGAAAGGGATCACGATTACCATCTCTAATTCTTTTCTTGCAATTGCATAGGAGTTTTATCTCATACCCTTTTCCTCACTACTTGTAATGATAGTTATACCCATGGAAGGATGAACCGAAATCTATGCTCTTTGGATCAATTAGCTTTGAATTAATATTAAATCCAATCCCCTTCTTTTCCAATGTTTATTCAACTCCCACATATTGCAATTGCAGAATATACAAGAACCTTAATTATTAATATCACAATGTAGTCAGAAAGCTATCCTGCTTATTTCATTTTCTCAATATAATAATGATTTAAAATATCAACATTAATATCTCAGACAGCAGCATAAAGCTATACGAAGAGTGACAAACCTGGCAGCGACTGAGAAAATCAATGGCGTCGTCTTTCAATTTATCGTCAATAGACTCGCCCAATAAAGCAATCGAATGGATTATCCAATAGCAAAGCCAAGGTCGACTGTAAATCAGCAAAACCTAGTAACTTCCTTCAAGTAGGATAAATTATTTTAATTATCAAACAAAAACGACGGGATCTATCATACTTGGCATCGAGAACAGAAAACGATGGACCGAGGTGATGGAGTCCTCTGTATAGATACTCAACGTGCTTCTCACGTTGAAGCTCCAAGCTGAAAAGTCCCGAAGAAGATTCATAATCGTTAAGATTGAGTATAAGAAAGAACAACCAAATTGTAAGAAACACACATATATCCTAGTGAACTTGAAGTGTGGATATATGGAGTGAGATGAAACCCTATAAATTAAGAGAGAGGAAGAGAGCTGACATGACGGACTGAGAGTTGGGAGGGATGCTGTAGAAGAAGTTGTAAATTTCGCGGACTTGACGCTCTACCGTCCATTGTTCTTCCTGAGTCTTCGTCCCTGTCGTAGACTCCATCGTCGCTATTCCGACCACCGGAAAAAAGCACTCAATCTGACCGGCGGGCGAAGACCCTGACGTTGACCTTCTATGCTTCCAGCCTTCAACAGTTCAACTTCGACTTCGATTCGCTTACTTGTACGGCCCGCAGGGCATATGCGTTGTCGGCGTATGCTTAACGGAGTACTCGGTATTTTTATTTTTTTATATTTTATTTTACTACGGAGTATACGTTTTACAATAACATTTGACGGTAAACCCCTATACTCTCTAAAATTAGAGATCTAAACCACTTTATTTCATTATTGGAATTTGGTCCACTAATTTTTGAAAATAAATCATACTACATAATAGTTTTTTAGTGACAAGAAAAAATTCTGTAATTATCTAATGGTACTAAATAAATTTTGCTTTGTGATTCTAGTCAGTAAATGACCTATCACTCGAACCAAGAAAGCTCATAGAAATAGGTTGATTTATATTGGTTGTATCATATATAAACTATATGATCAAGTGTTAGTAAGATAATGTAGAATGAGATTAAAATGTATTGTAAATGCAACTATGAAATCATTTATAAAAATCCCAAGAGTTTGTTCCTACAAGTTGCAAATGTGTTAATGTAGTGTTTTTTAGTTGGTGGAGACAGCTAGGCAAACGAGATGGTAATGTCGCTAGACAACGTAACTATAACGAATTAGTTCAATGATATAGTATGGGTAGGTCGGCAAATTATACTAAGAACTAGGGTTTACATTGCATTGTGGACATTGGTCCAAAATAATTTTCAGATAATCTGTCTGCAGTTAACATATTTTGTACTGTAAGTCAACAATTTATGTATTTGTAAATAAATTGAAGATATATTACATGTTAATTATAGACACATAAAATGATAACTATAAACACATAAAATATTAACTGTGAAGTATATAATATGTTATCTACATACATACAATTTTTAGATCATAATCTACAATGCAAGGTCTAACAATTGGTATAGGTCCGTCTAAGTTTATGACTCTCACAATGAGCAATTTATATCCTACACCACGGCGCGCGTTGCACTATGCGCCCAGATGCAAAACGACGTCGTTTTAATTATTTTTTTTTTTGAAATTTCCCGCCCTAGTGAATGGCAGTAGTTTTTTCTTTAAAAAAAAAACCGTTGTTCAAGAATGTACATAATGTTATACTAGAATACACATAATGTTATACATGAATGTACATAATTATATAACAAAATATACATACTCTTTTTAAAAGATAATACACATAATCTAACATAATACATAATAAACATAAACTTTTAACATAATACACATCAACTCTTAACATAATACACACAAATTTTCTGATTCGGATGTACATAATTGTATAAAAAGAATGTACATAATTGTATAAAAAATACACATAACGTTGTGAATAAATACACATAACGTTGTGAACAAATACACATAATCTCAGCAACTTCCTACCGCGCCTCCCAACACTACCCCAAAACGACGTCGTTTTGGGAGGCGCGCGGCGCACAGTGCTATGTGCGCCGTGGTGTAGGATATAACGATTGCTCACAATGCAAAATTGGGCTATGCAGTTTTATTTTTTATTTTTTGGCCAAATCAAAATAGTATTATTCTCATAATATTCATTATTTATACTTACTGTTAGTGTTGTAAAAATCGATCTAGATGGCCACCTAGGTGTCTTAGGTGTCAAGTTGGGCGCCTAACTCGGTTGAGTGATTTTTTTTTTCTTGTTCGACTGCTATTCTTCTATATTTTTCCAATCATGTACTCAACTAATCATCTAATATATGTAGTTGGGGAATTATAACAATCTAGCAATTCATAGTTTTGAGTAAGAAAAATATAGACAATATATATGCTCGGATTACTCGGCCGCTTAAGCGCTAGGGGCGCCCAACTAGCGCCTAGTGCCTTCTACAACATTGCTTACTATTTAGATGAGTAGGCCTATTAAACAACCATATGATTTTTCAAAAAAAAAAAAAAAAAAACAAATAAACCAAAAAAAAAAAAAAAAAAAAAAAACAACCATGTGATCTATAAAAGGTGAAACATCTCAATATTTTTCCATCTCAACCTTACACCTTTTGCCTCGTGTGTTTAGAAATATATAAAGTATATATTCTCACACCTAAACTATTGGGACGTACTACAAGTAACACCATAGCATAAAATATAATACTAATAATAATAAATAACGGAGATGTTATGAAAACATTGACAAATTGGAACAGTATTTATAGCTTTGCTCATATTTATGTTTTTATGATTAGTGGATCATTATTATAATACTATTAAATACAAAAATTATAAATATTAACTTCATACAAAATAGAAGGCATGATGTATACATAAATCACTCAGATTTAAACATCTATTCAATACTTGACATCACAAATTTAAAATTAATGTCAATTTATCATTAACGACGCACTCAACCATCAATAAGTAAATTTTGTGACATTGAACATTTAAAAAAAAAAATTGAGACTGAAATACAAAATGCAGTAGAAAGAGACCGTGACCAAACATAACATTATCATTATAAATTGAAAGACAAATGTGAACTGTATTCCTTAAGATAGATTGTCTTGTATAATTAAGGAGAGCAAGCCACCCACACCAGATAGTTGCTCCATTAGATAGGCTCCGTTTGGTTTCCGTGAAATCGTCTCAATCCATTTCATCAATCATCATGGATTAATAAAATCGGGTTGTCCCTAGTTGTCTAGTTATCAAGTGTGGCACGCATCTACACATGCTCTTGCAAAATCAAAGATAATATTTGCTACTACTACTATTCGCAACAAACAGAACATCAAACAGTCCCATTGCACGTGTTTCCACTATCCATACCAAAAGATGTCCCGGATAAGATGCCAATGGATTCCCACTTTCAAAATGAAGAATTTTCTTTAAAAAAATACAAATCAAATATAGAGCTTTTTAATCAAAATTTTTCATTTTGAAGTTATAAAACACAAAATAATAATTGTGTACATATTAACATTTCATATATATAACTCTAAACAATAAATTATAGTTTATAAATATAAAATTCGGAGGTTACTTGACCCGTCCACGTATATCTATACTATTTTGATATTATTCAATTAATTTCACATTATATTAATTGAAAATAATTAAAACTGATCGTTTTTTTTTTTTTTTTTTTTTAAATATTTCAGTAAAAAAAAACAAAAATTGAAAAATGTTGAAAAACTAGATATAAAATTCCTAAAAGGAAAAATATATAAATAAAAATTATGATCACTTATTTTTCTAAATTAATCATAGCATATTAGGATAGATTTTAAGAATTTGATATATCTTTGTTATCAAAAGGTTGAATCCCCAATCTTAATGTACATATGAGAGGATGTAAATCAACTCAACTGAACAGAGAGATTAACCTTTTGTTTATTGTGCACAAAGAGTATTCCACTTTGAGAGATTGTTCTTACACTGTTATTGGTGAGATTTGACCCCGAATTATTGTTTCTAAACTTTATCACCGTAACCTGTGCTACTTATGCCGACGAATTTAGAGTGCACTCTTAGGGGGGTGTATTCAATCATGACTTTTGTAGAGTTTTAAAGACTTTTAAAATGATAGATTTTAATAAACTTTTATTGACTTTCATAGAGTCGTTCAAAACTTTTTAAAACTATATAAGACTCTATAAAAGTATATATAAAAAACATTCATAGACTTTTATCAACTTTTTAATTTAAAAAGTCTACAAAAGTCATTGAAATTCTAAATTGAATACATCCTTACAAAATTTCAATAATTATGATTCTTATCATTTATAATTTTTTTTACAAAACATTTATAATATATCATAAAATTATTCTTATTATATAGTTCTTCACTCACAACAACATTCTCAACATTATTATTTTTATCCATAGTATGCTGAGACTTATATGCTAATTACTTTTTTTTATATATATATATATATATATATATATATATTATTAATAAACATTAAAAAAAACTATTTCATTATAAATTCATAACAATATTGAAAAATAAAATTTATAATAAAAGAATTGATCAAATAAAATATTTAAAAATATAATTACAAGTTCCATAAAATAAAAAAAATTAAAATTTAATATATATATATATATTACGAATATAAACATAAAAAAAAAAAGGAATAAGGTTCAAATTAGCCATTGAACGTAACCTGAAAATGCAATTAGGCCACTCAACGAAAACAAAGTGCAATTAGGCCACTGAACACTCAAAAAATGTGTAATTTGACCACTGAACACTCCAAATGTATGCAATTTCATCGAATAGCAGGTTACCATCAATTTTAGCAGGTTACCTGCTTACGTGGCAGCTGAGTTGGCATTTAATTTTAATAATAAATTTTTAAAAAATTGAAAAATAAATAAATAAAAATAAATAATAAATAAAGTGCTGGCCACCCCGTCGTGTTTTTATTTTTTTAAAAATTTATTTAAAATTATTTAAAAACTATTAAAAATGCCAACTCAGCTGCCACATAAGCAGGTAACCTGCTAAAATTGATGGTAACCTGCTATCAGGTGAAATTGCATACATTTAGAGTGTTCAGTGGCCTAATTGCATTTTCAGGTTACGTTCAGTGGCCAATTCGAACCTTATTCCAAAAAAAAAATTAAAATCAAAATTTATAGTATTTATATGAATATTATGAAACATATACTAAAATTTGACGATGAAAAATTTGCTTTGTTCATGTATTTAGGGAGAATTAGAGAAAGTTAGGGATGAAAAATTCATAGAAAAAATAAATATCAATATAAACAAGCAATAATGAACTAAAAATAATATTATTTCAAATTTTTAGAGAAAGAATGTAAAGTTCAGGAGAGAGAAAAAAATGGTAGAGTTTAGGTATGAGCAAAATATAGGATAATGAAGAAAAATAATAATTTTATTAAATTTAGATAGGTTTATAAAGTTTAAATATGGAGAAAAAATAGAGTTTAAATAGAGAGAGAAAACATTCAGAGTTGTTAGAAAGAAAATTTTGAAATCTTGGGGTTGATGGTTGGATTTCAACTATGTATATTTGAGAAGGAAAAGTCTACAAAAGTCCTAAAATTAAAAAGTCTACAAAAGTTCATAACTTTTTGAATAGCACATGACTTTGATTCTTTAAAAGT